GCGCGCGTCCTGCAAATGCATGCAACGAAGTTGCGAAACTTTCGTTTGCTAGCATACTTGCCCGGACGAAAAGTTACGACTGCCGCTTTGAAGAGATTCCAAATTTTCAATCGTTCTAGCATTTACGAGTAACGAGCGTATTTTCACAACTCTAGCGAAAACTGCAGCAGGCGCCGATAAACATAAATTTTCTTCCATCACACGTGCCCTTCTTTTCACATTACTTTCTACTACCATGAAAATTAACTGAGAAACGTTGAATACACGAGTTGAAGAGTAATTTTTTGAGAAAGTTTCTTTATAAGTTTGTTATCGTGTAATGAAGTACGCCGTGCGTAGGTGTACATACACAGATTAAACTTTCCAAACCATTTCGGTCGCTCGTGTAATTTATTATTTCAGCATAAAAAACGATTGTTATGGTCCAAGTGTTGCTTTATAAAAGTCTGAAAATAGTCGAGAACGTTCGAAAAATATCGTCTACAGGCTTTTGTCGATCTTTTACCATGTTTACATTGCACCATTCAAGATCGTGACGAATTATATACGAATTTCTTCTGTTACCATTTATTCTAATTGTAAGAAATTTACAAACCAATCTATTTACAAATACAAACAGCATTAAACTGTATACAATGTTTCTTTGTGATTTGATTTTGCGTTAAAATCTGACAGTATTGAATGGATTTTGCTAAAACAAATTGATAAAATATGATTGACAATGATTGATAAAATATGATTTTACTATCGCTCAGCGTGGAGAGCTTTTGATGTTAAATTGACATAATGATAATAGCTACGATGAAAAGATAAATAATTAAATTTGCAAATTATTTTGTTAACAGTAAATAGACTACATTTCTATTCAATTGCATTCTCAAGTGTAGATATTAAATTTTATATCTTACACATGATATACAGGGACAGGGTCAGTCAAGATAAATAATAGGATAAAGTGTTACAATCTATTTTCTCGTGAACCACAGACAATTTTTTTTTTTTCTAAATTCAATGGTGTTAAGTTGCTGATTATTTGAAAAAAGTGATGTTCTTGATAATCGATAGTAGTCTCGAAAGAGACTCCTCGAATTTTTTCTGAAGTGATTATAGTTAATTTCTATTCATTTACACAATTCATATGAAACTGAATAACATTTAAAACTTTTTTTTCTATTTTATATATAGTTAAAAAGTTATGAGGGAACAGAGTGCAAAAATTGCAACTGCCCTCTTATAACGCGGTATTCTGATAACTTCATTTCCACGTAGCACGATTCGATAAACTTTGAACAACCCTCGTATAGCATGCATTTTTTCATCACACTGTTTCTGTATTTTAAATTTTGCTTAGCATGGTTTCGATAAAATCGAAACGAATTCGGGACGAATAACCTGTAACGAATAAACTGTATTATGGACTGACTGTACCCAAGTTCAATTTATCGAACGTTCCAAAATGGTAACCATTCATTTCTAGATATTTGTTTAATCATTGAATCATATTGTTTCGCTTGTTGGTGTTATGAGTTCACATCTTAACAAATGTACACTATATGTGACTCATCTCGTGTACCAGTACATTTTATAAGAGAAATATGTCAAATCGATTCAAAAGAAATAGATGAGAGTTAAATACGTTCTAATGAATTCTGATTCGTGATCTGTGATTCAATATAAGTGATTTCTATTGATAAATGTGTTTCTGTGTTTCAAAAACTGTAATTACAGAAAATGAAAGTGTTGCAGAAAGATATTTTAAAGATATTTGAGATGGTTCTCTTGGTTATTTTCACTGCTGTTCGGCGTGTTCAATAGATGTAAGATTATAAAAGTTCGTATGATTCTGTATTGAACGGTCGCAGGAACCGGTAGTTTATATTGTGATACAATATTTGGTATTGGAGCAAGAAAGTAGTAAAAGAAATTGAACGCAGCGTTGAAAAAATTAAATCTATTTCTCAGAAATAGCGATCATTTCTGAACATGCAAACCATTGAACTTTTGGCTTCCCTGAAATGTATATAATATGTGCGTTGAAAAAATTAAATCTATTTCTCAAAAATAGCGATCATTTCTGACCGTGCAAGCCATTGAACTTTTGGCTTCCCTGAAATGTATATAATATGTGCGTTGAAAAAATTAAATCTATTTCTCAAAAATAGCAATCATTTCTGACCGTGCAAACCATTGAACTTTTGGCTTCCCTGAAATGTGTATAATATGTGCAATGAATGTAGAAAGTATTCATACACTTGATAAAAAATTATCAAAAATTTGTGTTCACAGAGGCGTTTGAATTTATAAAATTTCAAGAGGAAATTATCTTTACGTATCACTTTTCAAGATGATGTGAAAACATCTTTGAATGAAACGAAAGAAACTCTGTGTATTTTAAAAGTAAAACTTCACGCTTTAAAATGAACTCAATTGGATTCTAAGAATTTTTCTTACAAAGTTACAGCAGCTTGTATCGACAATTTTTCATGAAGATTACTATGTCGAATGAAACAATTAACTTCAAATTGTTATAACATTGTTTTAAAGCGTGAAGCTGTACATTCACATATTAAGTTCCGTTTTTCCAAAGATATTTTTACATCATTTTGAAACATAGTAAGTAAGGATATTTTCATCTCAAATTCAAACATCTTTATGGATACTGAAAAATTCTTTTCGTAACTAAATCTTTTCGGAGCCACAATGATTCTGAAAATTTAAATCTCTTCTTTAAAATGATCTCTTAGAATTTGTTGCATCTCTTGATAAAATTATTTACCATTTAAAATATAGACAATTTCTCATCAAGTGTACGAAGTGTACACTACATACATTATACATATACAAAGTGTGCATTCACAGAAATATACAGAATTAATTGATTCCGCGCCTTGATTAATCTCCATTTTTTTTTTTTTTTTTAAGAAGCCATTAGTTAATTAAATTTCTTGCGATGTTTTCAATGCTTTTAATGAATGAAACTTCATTCTCGCAATTTATTATGCACGAACATGAAATTCTTATGTCTGTAAATCGATAACTGCGAAAGTTATGAAAAAAGAAAATAATTGTTTATTAAGATGGCTTAAAAATTACGAATACTTTGAAGGGCTAGTAAAACAAAAGTACATATTTGATTGACATGAACTTTTGTGGTTTATTTTAACACATTATGAACTATAAAAAGCAACATTAAAAAAAAAACAAAGAGCTCTTACTTAACTTTTTAACGACATCCTTTTACATAACTTTCTTTTACATTGCTTATCGGTGTGCATGATTCCAGCCAAATAGGATTAGTTGCAACGAAAAGGCAGAAAAGGTTCAAAAGTAAACAATATTCTCTAGGGATTGACAACATTTTCATTTCTGTGAAAATTGTGAAAATTGCACAGCGTTTCTAAAAACCTAGTTTCGAGAAAAACGCGTTTAAAGTTTCAGAAGTTACTTATTTTACTTTTTTTACTTACATATCGTGGCTCACAGTTCTTACAATTCACAAATTGAATCCAAGTCGCCTAATATTCGATTCACCAAAAGTAATATTTGAATCACGCGATTTACACTTTATAATACTGCTTAAAGTTGTAAACAGTGATACAAATTCAATTATTCCGTATCCGTGGATTTATTATCATACCCCAAAATGAATCGTTTTAAAGGCTAGGACCTTTTGTATCTTATTTCCAAGACTTCAAACTACTGTTTAAAGCAAAAAAGAAATCGATTTTTTGAAAATTTCAAACTGTCCTGACCCCTTAAGGAGGGACGTCAGGATCAAAAGGCATAAAATTCAGAGAGAAATTCGTTTGCGCATTGGGAAACATTATTCGCAGAGAACGAGCAGAATAATAAACGACGGTGAAAACGGCGAGGATGCGACAGGCAAGCCACGAAAGTATAAGACGTTCGAAGTTCCCGCGAAAATAGGGAAGCCGGCATGTCCCCGATAAACCGCATTTTACCGAAATTTTCGAATCTTAATTGCGAGGAAATGGTGTGTAACGGCGTGAAATATTACCTAGAAAAGATGCTGACTCTTATTACAGTCGGCCGAAGAGGGAACCGCTTAATCCGGTGACTTCTCTCTCTCTTCGCATCCCCACACCTGCCGAAAAATGCTGACCCGTCATTTCCACTGCCAATCTGTTACGCGTGGATCCAACAGAAAGGAACAACTAAAAGAGTGCTGAGGAAAAGGAGTATCTTCACTCGAGTCTCTTTTCCATCTACGTTTGCCTCTTCTTCCAAAAGATATTACACACTGCACTTTCTCTCTGCATATTTCTGATTCGAGTTCCCTTTGACTGCGTCATCCTCGACAAACAAAAATTTTAAGTAACACGCAAAATTACTCGTGGTTGTCTGATTGAACGTATCATTAATCGCTCGTGAATGTAAGCAGATTTAAAAAAAAAAAAAAAAAAAAAGAAATGCTTAGTCGCGAAGAATTGTCATCGTGTTTCGGACTACTTCGTCCCAATTAAGAACCACGGGCTCGTTAGCACGAAACGAACCACGACTTAATTTTAATCTCAAACAACGGTCAAACGTCGACGTTGGTGGTCGTTCTTCTTGTTCGCTCGACATTTCACCCACCTTCTAATTTCGTTTGGTAGCTCGTGATGAAACTTCCGTGATCGTCGCACCGACTGCTTTTCTCTAATTAATGGTTTAAACATTTATCGCACGCTCTTGTTGATACGACGAGGCACGATGTAAAAAAAGGAGGAGAGTTGCTAAGAGAAAAAAAAAAAAAAAAAAAAAGGCGACGGTAGAGACGACGACGATGGGCCACGAGGCCCACGATGTTAAACTATTTCTCTCGTTGTGGAATTTGCATTCCCATGCAGGGGAATCTTTGTGCAGCAGTATAGCAGACAGTAATCTGGATGCATTGGCAAAGGCAAGGCGTGATGCGTGCAGCAGGGCCGTAACGTGTCGAGGTGTGTTGGCGGTGATCGGGCGCAGGCGTCGTGCCCAGGTACGTTCGTCAGTCGTCGGCCGAACTTGAAACGCGCGGCTTCGTGTTCTTCGTCTCGTCACAGATCAATTACGATTGTTCTCGCGCCAAAACACTCGACACACCTACACGTCTCTACTCTTTCGCTGTCCGGCGCATCCAGTAGATCGATCTGTCGTCTATGATTCGCGTGACCGTTTGATCAATTTCTCGAATCCTGCGTCTTATCATTTTCGTTGCAGAACGTCTAATTTTCGCGTGCCTGCCACCACTCGAATCGATCGTTTGTTTCCCATCCGTTGCCACCGATTTGTGTTTCCGATCTGCGATAAGTACGTAGTTGCAAAGTTCCTGTGCGCCACGCCAACGCGTGAACTTTGACAACGTGATTATGTGTGAATCTCGGAATCCACTTGAAGATCCTGTCTGTGTCGTTTCATTACACTTTTGAGAAAATTGCGAACCTAATCATGCCACTCGACGATCCATTCGAAATTACTAGATTCCATTTTTCCATATCGTTTTGTGTGTCTTTATATGAATTTCTGCATTCATTTTAAACCCGATTGGAAACGATGTCTCTGGATCAAAAGAACATCATTCCCGCTCCAATTTCATTGCTTTCACGATCCATTTGCCTCTTCCGATCCATCGACCAATCATTGTGTCAAAAAATATACGCGTTGAACTACCTGACTACCTCGTGAAGTAGCAGCATTTACGATGCTCGTATTTCAAAATTCGATTTCTTGTCGGTTCTATAGTCGAACGAGACTTTTCAAGTAATTTTCATTTACGACTATTCGACGCTGTTCTCCCTGCCATCCTCTCAGACAGAACACGCGTTTCACTGATATCTCGGGAATGGATTTATATCCACAATTACCGACCAATTGTCTCGCCTCTCGAGCTGAATGCAGTTCGAATCTGCATAGTGAAATCGCAACTATCGTAGACCAAGAGCTTACAGCCATTATCGAGTGAAACACTATATTTTTGATACACGCTGCGACCATTTCTCGATCCAGCTCTGCCTCTTTGCTACGCGTAGATCATGCCCTACAAATCCACGTTCACTTCTTTCCGTCCATTCGTTTCCTCATGCGTTTCTTTCTTCTCTTTTTCCTCTTTTTAGTAGCGGTAATTTTTATATCCTTGGAGTCAAATACAAGAGGTAGCCGGTTACGTGTTCGGAAAATTGTTAAGACGATGGATGCATAAAAGTTTCACGGTGGAACACGCTGCGACAGACGAAAGACACTGGCTGGAACACAGGCGAAGAATGACGTTTGTTCGAGGCACGGCTCACGATTTCGTCGAGCGATAAGTGGTAAGAGCTACTACCATTGGACACAGTCCAAAATTCACTTAAACTTTCTACCTTGACGTGATAACCGATTCGTATCCATCGATTATTCGATTATTTTTTCAACTTCTGTCTAGCGATTACACACATTGGCAAACTAAATCGAGAGACATTACGAGCACCTAAAGACTTGAAAGATTATTTGCAATCCAGAAAAGTATTATTTCGTATAGGCTGTAATTAGCTTTGAAGTACAGTCCCCGGAGCACCGTAACCCAAGTTACCGTATCGGCGAGCTTGCATAGCTAGTTACCTCCTCCGAGCATTATGACATTGCAATTACACGAACAGTAAACTTTATGCCACAAATTACAACGATGCATGAATAGACGAGACAACTTTGACGCCGTAGCTACGCGCCTGAGGGATAATTATATAAAACGTTCGTACTGGCTTCATCCTGATGGCACATATGTAAACGCGTAACAGTTCGATTTCGCTGAATTGACTGCTTTCGATTTAATTCGCTGAACGTGAAATAGCACCGATGATGGAATTTTAAAAGATTGGAAAAATTTTTTCGTTATCAAGGTCCACCCGATCGATTTCATTTCGTTTTTTTTTTTTTTTCTTCTTTTTTTTTTGAATGGATCGCGCTCATTACGGGACAACATTGCGTTTCACTTGGAACTTTTTTTCATTTCACTGATATCATCCAATTCTGTTTTTAACATTCTAGCCTAAAAACGAGTTTCGAAAGCTTGCTCGATATCTTTTTTCATCGCTACATTGTTTCGTCTGGATTCTAGAATTTTATGAAATATTTACAACGTTATGATAAAGTATTGTTTGGTCCTTAATGAGTTAATTGTGGTTTTTGGTAATGATTATGTCCCCTCTAACTTGACACACCCTATTTAGTGGATAAATGAAGAGCAACGTTCAACAAAACAAACTGATGAGAGCTTTGCTAATGAAAAATTAACGTAATCATCGCCTGGCCGTATTTTATTTTACTCGCAGTGAGAGAAAGAGATGGAAAAATATACAATTTCTCAGCACGGAGTGTCGTATAATTTAATAACACCGGCTCGAGTATGCCTTACGTGTCTGGATTTCTATTCAATTCTATATAAGTTCTCTCGACGGCGAATAGTAAACTTTCGTCAGACGGTAAGTTTTACGACGAACAATTCTACTCGCCGTTACGATGATAATGTGATAATAATCTTCCGCGATAACTTCTAACAAAACTTTGATCATGAAAAATCCATACAATTTGCTCCTGCAATTTTTCCTGCAATTTTTCGTTGTGAATTTATCATTGAAATTTGATTAAGATACCGCTATTACATTCCGTGCATTCATTCGTTAATCCCATTGAATGCTCGACGTTCGAGATAAAAGCGCAAGCAAAAACATCCAGCAGGCTCGACAGTTGTGTTTAGATCCGTGGTTTTGTTTGCTTCTGCTGGGGAAAAGAGGACGATCCTCTTCTAATCGCACCAAGCAAACCGTCCGTCATTTTCATCCTCGGGCTGAATTGCGGCGGGAAAAAAAAGGCTCCGAGCCGAGATTCGGCTTAAGAAAAGGAAACAAAACCGACCGTAATCTATGAAATCCCGTGATTCTTTGCCAACGTTTGCGTTTTATTGGAATTGTTTACTTACGAGATCGCCAAAATTTCGCACAAGAATAATAGGTACTTGCAGCGACTCGCATTAATACTTGGACTGTTGCGATTTCGTAAGAAAAAGATCGTACGATGATAAACCTCTACCTTTAAAAGCGTATCGTTCATTTTGTTCCAAAATGTTTTTACATCACGTAGTGTGTGGGTGGGTGAAAATATTTTTCTTCTCAAAAACAAATTGTCACAGTATGTAAAAACATCGAAAAACTGAATAACAATAAACTTGAAAATTGAAGCCTCCCCTTTGCGATCATTTCCGAAATCTTGACGTATGATTGTTTTTTTTTTCACCATTTTATTAAACTTTTATTAAATTTTATTAAACTTTTTAAACTGAATGTTAGGCTTAGACGACAAAAATTCAAGAAATCGTAAAATTTTCGTCGTATTTTTTTTTTTTTTTTTTTGCCTGATATTCAAAGTTTGTTTCTCACTATTTTATCAAGATTTGAATATTAAGCTTAAATACAAAATTCGAGAAATCATAAAATTGTTGTACTTCTTTTTGCTTGATATTCATGAATTTCATGTCATAAAAAGAACTTTTAGATTTTTTTCAACTGTGGCAATTCACAGCATTTTCGAAAAGGAAACTGTCTTTACTTTGTCATCTGTTACATAGTGTAAAAATATCTTGAAATAAAATAAAGCTTCAAGCTTTGAGATGAACCCTTAAGATTTAATTTAATTTTACGATTTCACTCTACAAGATGAAATTATAACAATTTCAATATTTAGTGTCAGAATATTAATGTGAGTTGCTATATAGTATCCACTCGTGTCTAATTCGAAAAAAAGAGACGCTTTTGAATTTGTGCTTTAAATCGAGCACACGTGACATGGCGTCAAAAGACATCTATCACGTTCGAATCAGCTTATCTCGATCAAAATGGATTGCAACTTTTTTACAGAATGTTTCTCTCATTTAGAGAAACTCGAAAGAAGAGTTGGAAATAAATCACGCATTTATATTTCGCAGAGCAACGCACGATCGATCATCAGAAAATAAGATACTGAGTCGGATAATTTCGTATTGAATAGTTTCCGAGATTATCATATTACAGTGAACCGTCGTCCATCAGACTATACAAAATCGTATTCTCTCGTCCTGTCCAACAGAAAAATACCAAATAGATTGATGCGGTTCAGAGTATTAACATCTTACGCTGGAATGACGTGCTACGCACGTCGAGAATTTTTTATCCCAAAATTGCAATATTTTTTCAGTAAGTATATTTAAGTATAACTCAGGCAAAACAAATAATAAATTTGTTCTCACTAATTTCTATCCAGTGATGTCATACTGACGAGTATTCAAATAGAAAGCGACGAATTATTGTATACGGTTTGGTCACTCGTTATGGTCCGCAATCAGTTGTCAGCGCAAGTGGTTAACCTCTTGCGCTAGAATGACGTGCTACGCACGTCGAGAACTTTTTGTTCCAAAATTTTCTCAGTTTTAAGTATATTTAAGTATAACTGAGACAAAACAAATAATAAATTTATCACTTCTCACTAATTTCTATCCAGTGATGTCATACTGATGAGTATTCAAATAGAAAGCGACGAATTATTGTATACGGTTTGGTCACTCGTTATGGTCCGCAATCAGTTGTCAGCGCAAGTGGTTAACCTCTTGCGCTGGAATGACGTGCTACGCACGTCGAGAATTTTTTGTTCCAAAATTAATAATATTTTCTCAGTTTTAAATATATTTATACAAAACAAAATAGGCAAAACAAATGATAAATTTATCACTTTTCACTAATTTCTAACCAATAATATCACACCGACGAGTTTAAAAAGAAAGCGACACATTATTGTGTATAGTTCGGTCACTCGTTATGGTCCGCAATCAGTTGTCAACGCAAGTGATTAACGAATCACCGTCTCGAAGAAACAAGATTTTGTTGAAATTTATTAATTCGGGGCAGTGGAATATTAGTTCTTAAGGATTTTACTTTTAATGTCGTCTGAATTGAATTTCTGATTTTACAGACAGTTGTTTACTGTTCACTAGCTTTATTCTTTCTGGAACTTTATTCTTTCTTCGTTAATACATACCGTATAATATATATAAAGTAAGTTGAATGTCATCACATCTACATACATATACAACTCTCACACTTTGACACTCTTAGCATGTACGCGTATATGTTGGCAGTTACATTATGAACAGATTTCGTCTGCCGGACAGTGAGATGGAAGGGAATAAAAGAAATGAAATGCACAGCCAACTGAAGCGTTATCGTCCATGCGTCACATTATTGATTCAATAAACAATCCAAAGCGCGCTAATTGGCAATCTATAGGATACAGAGTATGAAGAAACGTAGATAAAGAAAACCATTTATGAGAGGGAACAGAGAAAGCTCTCGCGAAGGGAGAGAACGTGTCAACGAGAAGACGGGAAAACTTCGAAACGAGTAGAAAACAAGGATACGCGGCTACGGAGGAACAAAGCAGAGCACAATACGACTGTCTCCTCGTTGACGCCGCACTTTCGCTCGTATTGGCTAGCTAAAATGCGAAAGAGCGAACCTGGCGGAGAAAGAACAAGCAAGGGAAACTCGGAGGAAGTGGATATTTCGCCTGGAGAAAATTTGAATAAAACCGGCGGGATGGTAGTTTCCTCTTCGGTCTTTCTCTATCTTTCGTCCCTGTTCCGTCCTCCACTGCCGACTTCCTGTCGTCGTTCCAAACCCTTGCGTCCGCTAAAGAAATGCAAGTTTAGCGCTGGAAATTCACAAAGAGTCCTGGTCAGGCCAAACTACCACGAGTCTCCCATTGCTCTAACATTTGTCGTATAATATCGCCTGGCTTTGCCTTCTTTCCTCGAATTCACGCAAACGGACTTTTCTCTCGTTCTTCGCTCTCATTATCGCGGTATTTCGCGAATTCTGCTGAACGCTTTTTGCAAATCGAGTTCGATTGATTGAAAGGCAAAAAGAAAATTATTCGCATTCGCTCGAAACTGAGTGAAATATGTTACTACGAATTTCCGATTGAAATGCGTTATACAGGGTGTTTTATTTGAAACGTTCCACGCAATTATCTTCTAAATCTATGTATTCGTTGTAGAAAAAAATGTAAAACTTATTTTATTCCGAAGGGGATATCTTTTGATCATTCGCAAATTTTGTCTACGTGGACCTGCTTTCGAGATTTCAAGATGACCTGTGCTTCTTCAAATTAAACTGTGTATACCGTTCCGTGACGAATTCATCGACCTATCATATACGAAACATTGGAGAGGGCAACTGCCCTTTAGAGATAGAGTGAACCAGTGCATTCGCGCTCGAAGCCACCATCTCGAATACGAAAGATAAGA